GATACAGACAGATCAATGAGATAAAGTCACGTAAATCTTAAAATTTAATTGTTAACTCTATAGATTGAAATTATTTCAATCAAAACTAAAACGCATTGCAAACAATTTGGCCGTTTTACAGTGACTGCATTGATAATTAGTTTTTAATAAATTAAAAAATGTTGGTGCATTCATGTTTCATAACCTTCTGCAGCGTTCACTGTGCATGTGAATCTCATCTCATTGCTACACAGTTCAGTCTTATTTATATCGCTTTCTTTTCTTTTTTTAAWAAATCTGCTTTGTTCCAAATAACATCGAGCAAAGCACTGGTGCTTTGGTTTAGTTTGGACACAACAGATTACCATARGTCATACAGGATTAGTTATATGTTACGACAAACCAGTCAGCTGAAATTTGTAGAGTTGTAAGTTTTGACCTCAGAAATTTATTTGTTTTTTTAAGTAAAATTTAACTTAAATAATAAATGAATTAAAATYGTTCTACTGAAATCAGTCAAAACTGTGAAACCCAATGGTAGAGAAAAACATGAAAATCAAAAAAACTTGCCTAAAAATGTTTTAAGTCCTCTAATTGTGATCTCTTTCATGGMAAATAAAATACAACAAACAAATAATGCAAATAAAAATACTTTAACTATCAGATTTCTTGGAAAAGGTGGAGAAGTTCCAGTATAACATGTTTTTGTAATAACTTCTCATTAAAGCAGTAATTACCGGTAATTCTTTTAAACCCACTCATTGTAATCACCTCTCTCCAATCAGAGACTATTAATGCTTGTGGTTCTAATTGGTTTTAGAGTTTTCATTCTGCCTTTGTGATCATTATCAACCTTCTCTGGATTTTATATTTACGTCTGAATGGTGCCATTTTAATTCACAGAGTGTAATTGAATGTTGTGGGACTAACAATCCAAATAATAATGTAAACAAAAACAATAAAATCTGCTCCTGYTAACGAAGTTAACATGGCGTGTGAGTGTTTTTGTATTTCTGGGTAACAGCATCATCTCTGTTGTGCAGTTATCCGACATCATGCTGCAGCGTGGCAGAGATCATGTCGGTCCTTTTCTTCCACAACATGAAGTACCGCCCTGACGACCCGAGAAACTTCAACAACGACCGCTTCATCCTATCCAAGGTGGGCTGCCGTCAGCTGGACACCTCTTCGAATTTGCACGCGTGGATTTTTGAATACCTTTTTTTTTTTACATCTCTTCTCAGGGTCATGCTGCTCCTGCTCTGTACTCCATGTGGGTTGAAACAGGTTTCCTGAAAGAGAGTGATCTGCTCAGTTTGTGCCAGGTCGACTCGACTCTGGAGAGCCACCCAACTCCTGTGAGTTACACCTCCCCTCAGTGACCAAACACCAGGAAATCACCATAATAATAATGACACTTGTMATCTGTGTGCATTTCAGAAGCAACAATTTGTTGATATAGTCACCGGATCACTGGGGCAGGGTCTCGGGGTGGCATGTGGAATGGCCTACACTGGGAAATACTTTGATAAATCCAGGTAATCCATCTTAAATCTGTGCAGGATAAATAAATCACAAATTTTGCACCATAACCAAACTATTAAACGATTAATAATGTTCTGATAATAATTTTTTGGGTATTGCTATATTTAAGGTTCCGTTCTGCAGAATGCCGMGCTCTAATTTTTGCAATGAGGCTTTTCCACAGTCAGTGGGTGTGTGCTGCAGCTACATGCTCTGCACTCCCAATTCTTCTGCTCTAATAACCTCAGCAGCAGTTGAAGTCGTATCTCAATTATTTTTACCATCCAAGCAGATTTAATCTCACATTCAAACTCAGATATTGAGCTCATATCTCATGAATCTTTGTATTTTTTTTTTTCATTTGCCTATTGGCACGACATTTTCATTGAAGGTGATTTTGATTCCTCGTCAGTATTTAAAAAAAAACTGTAAAACAGAAGACTGCTTGCTCTGTTTCAATCATTCTGGTGACACCCCCAAAAAATCAGCCTAACTGGAAAGGTGTCCATCTGTGGAAAAATATACTCTAATAAATCCTCTTCTTGTTCTGCACCTCAGTTACCGTGTGTACTGCCTGCTGGGTGATGGTGAGATGTCAGAGGGCTCAGTCTGGGAAGCCATGTCCTTRGCCTCCTATTATCAGCTTGACAACTTGGTGGCCATCATGGACATCAACCGTTTYGGCCAAAGTGACCCAGCACCCCTGCAGCATCATGTGGAGAAGTACCAGCGGCGCTGTGAGGCTTTCGGGTAATAAAACTGAGGTGGAGGCTGTCGGTGTAAAACAGCGATGGTGGGATTTGTCTAAAAAAATAAAAACATCATCTGTGCGTGTCTGATGTGCAGCATTCAGTTTGTGATTAAATGCATGTGTGTGTATATAGCTGGCATGCCATCATTGTGGACGGACACAGTGTGGAGGAGCTTTGCAAGGCTTTGAGCCAGCCACGCCATCAGCCCACTGCAATCATCGCTAAAACCATCAAGGGCAAAGGCATTCCAGGTAACTGTTCTGCACACAAACCCACCGACACATCCATACCACAGCTCGAGAGTTATCAGATAAAATAAACAATTGTTTCATGTTGTTTCAGCTGCTGAGGATAAGCTGGGCTGGCATGCCAAAGCTTTGCCCAAAGACATGGCTGAGATGGTGATGAAGGATCTGCAGAGCCGGATCACGAGCAGCAGTAAGCACCTGTACCCGCCYGCCCCCATCGAGGACTCCCCGCCTGTCAGCCTGAGGAACATCAGGATGCCAAGCGCTCCCAGCTACAAGGCTGGAGAAAAGGTTTATGGCAAATATAAACATTCTTTMTAAATCTTTGAACAAAGTCTTATGACTGGAAATATGAACAAAAGTGAGACCTGTTCAGTATTATAGAACTTACAAATAAACCTTGAATTTAAAAACAAAAAGCTTGTTGCTATTRAATGAAATGGACCGTGGGGAATAAAGTAAAAACTAACATGTTCTTAGCATACTTTTAAAACATTTGTTGTTGTTGTTTTTTTATTTTTAGTTTTGGACAAGGATTAAAGTCTTTTTTATTTAAACTCCAGTGTGTGCTTTTTAAATTAGATGATCAGATATATGACTCGAGTCAGTCCAAAGCGACCTCAGTATTTGCAGCCAAATTGACAGCTGACTGGTTTCTTCGCAGATTGCTACTCGCAGGGCTTATGGGATGGCTCTGGCCAAGCTGGGTCGCTACAACGAACGAGTCGTGGTTTTGGACGGAGACACCAACAACCTCACCTGCTCCGAGATCTTTAAGAATGAACACCCTAACCGCTTTGTTGAGTGCTACTTCTCTCAGCAGAACATGGTATGATCCTGAACGATGCTCGGTCTTAAAAAAAAACCCCTTTTTTTTTTGCAAAATCAGACATTGCTTTTCTGAAACATTGTAATATAAAACAGGTGGATTTATTTTTCCCTTGTTAGTTCTGAAGTTCTGAGCACACCCTGCTGCAATCTGAACCTGTTTGTGTTAAAACAATAACAGAAAACACTGATAGATACCTGCATTACATTATTTTTGTCATTGCTCGTATTTTATCTATTTTTTTCATCAATCAGACTGATTTTTTTTCCTGCTCTGCCTTTCCTAGCAGCAGCAAACTCTAATGTAGGTCAGGCATGRGTATGACGTTAAGCAGTCGTGACAAGTGTATTCAGAAGTAAAATATTAATCAGTGCAGAGGACGAAACCATCTGGCTAAATGCATGAGGAAAAGTCAAACGTTAAAGGGCGTGATAACTGCGGCTGCCAGGAATTAGAACAAAAATGCCTCAATATAAAAACAAGTTATTCCACATTACCCGTGCTGTAGTATATAAATACACACACACACACACACACACACACACACACACACACACACACA